TTATTAGAAACATCTACCACAAAAAACTTGGGTAAAAATAAAAGGAAGCTGACACAACTCACGATGAGGTAAACAAAAGTTATACCCTCCTGACATCACTATAATGATGTCTTTACCTTGTCTGCTGAGCAAAAAACAAAAAATACAATGTGCCATGAATAGCAAAAAAAAAAAGCGATATTGCTGAATGAACAATGAGCTGAATTCTTTCGCTGATTCACTTCAAGTATTGTACTCAGAAACCAGATATAAGTTCAGCAAATTCGCAGTTTCATATATATATAAATATTTTACAAATAACACAGAATCAAGTTTAAACATTGAATTGCAATAAAAATCATCGACAACTCATATATATATATATTATATATATATATTAAAAAAACCCATAGAAGGCTATAAAATAATAGAGTTAGTCTACGAAGAAGTCTGAAAACTTTGAGAAACCCTACAGAGATGCGTAGACAAAATCCGAGATACATATCAACATTTTCATTCACATTAATATTCTTTACAACACAGCAAGACGCTTAGCATACTCATAATATAACATGAATAATCTGAATAAAAAGATTTCAAGTGAAAATGGATTGGAATTTGTATAAGAAACTTCTGTGCAGTCTGATAAGAATGATGTCTACCACGAAACTTCCTCAACTTTCAGCATCAAAATCACTTTCTTGCCTTCAGATTCTCTTTTATCGCCAAAGACCTACCCCCCCACCAAACTTATCAGGTTCATCTTCTAAACACGTACGAAAAATGCCATCTTTGAATTCTTCACTTGGCAAATCTCTAGAATCTGCTAAATTTATCTATCAATTGTAAAAAACTGCCAGGTCACTCACTCAGCTTCCTATCACTTCACTAGTAATTTTGAAAATCACAAACATCTTAAAGATATCCAATAGAATTAAGTAAATATAACTTATTGAAGAGGAACAAACCTCACGTTTGTTGAGGATCACAAGCAGCAATAGGAGTATTGACTCCAAGAGGTGTGCCGCATGTTGCTGGTGGAGCAGCAGATGAAGCCTGATTTCCTGCACTAACACCCCATCCACCTAACGATGTTAATTCAAAATCCGACATATAGGCTGAAATCAGATTTCCGTAAAATGCAAGATAAAAAGTTAGGCACACAATTCTTAGTTATGGAAATACCACTATCAAGGTAAACATGAACGCAATACAAAATCGAACTTTGAGGAGGTGGTGGTCCACCAATTGTTGACATTGCGGAGGGCATTTGGTGGCTCATGTTTGGAATAGAATTCTGCATGGCATTAGGATCGAACTGCGTATTTTCAACTCTAGAAATAGTCCTTTCGTCTTCTTCGCCATATTCACCACCCATCATTGACGGTTCACCAACTACCATAACGTCTTGATATTGGAGAGGAAACTGTAAGTAATCGAAATTAAGGGCTCACAACTAAGATCATTGCAGTACTCAAAAATATTCTTGCGTGCACTTCTGTGAGATAAAAGAAAGAAGGGGAGATGACAAAAAGAAGCTGCAGTAATTGTCATACATGTTGGAAAAAATTCTCTACGAAATTATCCCATAAAATGATGCACTTTAACAATATGAAGAAAACTAACATGGGAGTTCATTTGGAAATTAGCAGCATTTGTTGCAGGGGGTGAGTTGTTTTTCTTCTTGGCATTCGACACTGAACTAGTACCTGCAGGAGTTTTTCTAGTTCGTTTGCGAGGTTTCTTTGAAGTCGGTTCCTCAACCGGTGTTGGTTGTAGTACATGCGAAGGATTCATACCACCTACAAGCAGCGAACAAATTTACAAAGTAATAAGACCCAAAAATAAATATGAATTAATCATTTATCAAATGGCGCTCATATTGATTCATAATGCCAAATTAACTCACCCATTGCATTTAATGCCATCTGTTGCTGCTGGTATTGCTGCATTTTGACATGAGCTTGAAACAAGGTTTGTTTCAGTGACTCTCTTGGTGGAATCTGAAAATTAAAAAAAAATTTATATGTGAAAACAATAATTAAAAAAAAGGATTGAACTAAATTTTTGAAATCACGACTTAGATGAAAATTAAGACGAAGTGACTTTACGAAGCAAACTCACGTTGTGAGATTTACTTTGACTCATAAGCACTTGCATTGGTTCCAAGATAACGCAGAGCTTCAAATAATTTAATGTTATTTGAGTCATCCCTGTCCTCGTAATGTTCAATTTCAACTTCTCTTGTGTTTCGCTATCCTGCAGCTGTAAATCATAATAATAATGCTTTTTACGAAAAAAAATCATACATAAAATGAAAAAAAAGTTGGAAATCCGCAAATTTTCCTGGATAAACAAATTCAAACTTCAAAATAAGCTGATTTTTGTTTTCGAATCAGGATTGCTCATCCTTCTTAGTGATTCTTATTTCGAAAACGAATATCAGTCCATTATTTACTCAATTTATAGAGAAATTCAATTTCTACTCAGGCAATATTAAAATATCTGTATCCTTTATTACTTCGCAACTAACAATATATACCAAAAATTAATAATTAGAGCGCGCTCATCAAAGTCTTACTTACCATACTGATATCTCTCAATACGAATTCTTGGCAATGCCTAAGCTCAATACTCCATTGTCGGATCCGGTAACCATATGTATCGTCAAATGCAAATTCACACATCAATTTACAATCAGTGTGAACCTAAAAAGCATCGAATCAATTACAGAAAGAAAACATTATGCAATAGAAAAATAAGAAAATCACTTATATAGCTAAATGCAATAGAAAAATTAAAGAAAAATCACTTACATGTACGTCATGTCAGATGACACAATTTAAAACAAAATATTCAGCGATAGTAAAAAAGACCAAAATGCTAACCTCTGACATAACCGGTTTTTCATGTTTAGACACAAGAAGCACGTTATCACAATCAAGCATAACTGTCCACGGCCCACCAGCCTGTTCGCGAGAAGGTGTTCGAATCACGTAAAACATTTCTTTTACCCCACTCTCGAATATAGAACGGAAATATCGCGATATCAGTAACCGACCAATAGCTAAAAACATCATTCTAATATAAAAAAACAATAGATAAAAATAGAGGCACTAATTTACAAACTATTTAGCCAAAAAATAGATGATGACCAGGAGTTTTATCAATTGTAACAATTCCACACTTTCAAAACAACATACTGTATCGATGATGATGACCAGGAGCTTGGTCATCAAATAACAGAAAGCTCATTTTAGCATCGTCGTCAAAAAATTCATGTGCAAAGGCATCCCACCACTGTGCACGATCCTTTTCTTGAATCTGAAGTTTAATGCACAAGTAAAAATAAACTGCACAAAATTTTTCAAAACAAATATTGGTGTGAAATGCTTGTGGATGAATCGGGCAATCATAAATCTAGATTTTAATGCTAACAAAAACTTCACTTACTCCACTATTGCTGAATATGAAAAGCCTCCGATTCATTTCATGTAACCTGAATTCTAACTGCGAAGGAGGTGGCCCTTGCTGATGATTTGGTATGCCCATAGGTGCCACATGCTTATACCTAAAAATAGGGCATATTAAACTACCTGAAATTTGTGCAAGCAAGGGTAATCAGTAGGAAATAATTCTTTAAGTCAACAAGAAAATATATATATTGACTTTTCATGGACTAAAAAAACCACACAATGCCCACACAGTAAGGAAGAAAACCTTGGAATGAATATCTCCACTAATGGATGAATGAGAACCTCATGATCATATGATTATGTTGCTGAAGATGCGTCGGCTGCCCAACGAAAGGGCTTTGCGGTGGCTCAGGTTCAATGAACTGATGAGGTGCCGGATGTGGTGCCTGTTGCGCAGGCCCCGGTGGTGGGCCAAGGGGCGATGGTTGATAATTCGGTGGTACAGCCTGATAATACTCTGGTGGTGGTGGTGCGCCCATGGAGCCCGTCGGAGGAGTATACACATGATGACTTGACATGGGTCCACCATCATCATGCATAGGAATCATGCCATTATGGTTATGCAACATTGGGACGGTTTGCATAGCAGATGGTGTTTGGCCACCATCATACATCCCTTGAACCATTTCAAGTTTCGGTTCCAGCCCCCCTGTACCACCAACCTCTTTCTTAGGGCGTCTAGCGCGCGGCTTTGTCGTACCAACAGTTGCGCTTGATGTACCATTTTCAGTAGCTTTACGTCGTGGCATCGGCCTACTTTTTTAGCAAAACGCTTTGGTGTTGTCAGTGATGTTTCTGTCTACAGTACGTTAACTTCACCGTACACTCATTTTCGTTTCTACAGTTTACGACAACTAATAAGCAGGTTAGGATACCGAAATCCAGTAAAGAACAGAACAAATGCCATAATTAACCTCAAAAACCAAACTCCAGCACTGGAATTGATCCCAACAGTGCAGCCTCAAAAGATATCCACTTTCTTTTCTTTCTGAAAATGAATCAGTATCGTCCACTCAAATCAATCTCAAATGATTCGAACCACATATTATCCTTCACACTTGAATTGTTAAAACGAAACGATGGACACTAAATACATAAAACTAGGAAAAAGCCATTATCAAATAAACCAGCCATGCTAAAACAATTGTAAAGACATAACGAACTGAAACAGACTATCAATTACAACCAAAAATAACACGATTATATGGTCTGAAAGACTGTCTTTGTAAAAGATTTAAGAGGCGGTAAATACCCATTAGAGAACACGATGATAAAATGAAGAGCTAAACAAAAGAGAGTAGAAAGCGATCAACTGACAATTCTGACAATACTTTTGAAGCAAGGAAAAAACTGAAGAGGCAAGCATCAACAAATGCAGTTGAAGATTATAAAGTAAATAAAAACTGCCAAAAGAGAGTTTAACCAAATTACATACACTAACGCCACTAACTATTCATTTTCCGCTGTTTTTTACGTGATAGTATTAACCTGCGCAGATATAAATTAACTTTTCTGTTGTCATATCATTACATGATTAGAAATGAAAGTTCTGTGCAAACATTTATCGATGCAAGACGAACTCAGCTACTTGGAACCGATGTTTTTATATATAACGCATGGAAATAGAAAAGGAAGAGCTGTTTCGTGGTTAGATGCAGTATGTTACACACATGATTCAGGGAAACGAAAAATGTAAGTAAACGTGTATAAGGTAAAAGCCGATGGTGAGCTGAAGTGGATTTTAAATGAATACAGTCTTTACGGAGACTAAGATTTTAGGCGCCAACAATGCATAAATGAAGACATAAAAAAGGTTGATAAGCAAGTGCAAGCAATAGATGCATATAAGATATGTGTGCAATTCGTTTTGGGACAAAAAAAAGGGCCAAGGATTCGATCTGAAGCTTAGAGGAGCTAATCAACATAATCGCATAATCAATACATGCGTGTGGCCATGGAGAGCAACAAGCAAAAAGCAGGAAGGAAGGAAAGGCGCTGAGACGACGACGGCAAAGCTATACAACCATCCATCCATCCACCCAAGCCAGCACCTACATCACCCTTCAGCGTAAACCCAACCTCGCAATATCAAATTCTGATCATCGTGCTACATCCCAACTCTTTACCAGCATTTATTATTTCTATCACTATTAGTATTAGTATTGGTAGTAGTACTACTAGTACCGATACTACCAATACTACTACCATTCTGCTCCATTTCATGAGCACATCAATATACTATCCAACCGACACCATGCCATACACCTTGTTCCTGCTGTCTGTTGCCATTACTTTCCTGCCACCGAATGGCGAAGGAGGACAATAATTATGATATCACTCACATTTTAACTACATAATTAACAGACTTCTGTTTAATTAATTACGTATCTAACAGCCTGAATTATGAATATCGTCATCTAGACTGTAACTATTTTAAAGACCCCTTGCTTTGATCGACAAATACAATGGTCAGCTGAAATGAAGAATAGGGCAAAACAATGTGGCAACACCCCCGCTCAAATATGTCATACCATATTACAGTGGATAAAGCGTTCCTGTTCATGACTAAAAAACCACAATTTGTTTTAATTAATGCAAAATTTATTTTCAAATTTGTTTAATAAAATTTACATATTACAGAAAACCCAGACAAAATATGAACGGCGCAACTTTACGAAACACATCTAATTGCAAATACATCATAAATTTAAAACATTTCAGCAAGATAGCATACATATTCCAGTCTTTGGTATAAACAAATACCAAAACTTGACAAGTAATACTAAGTATGGTTTACAATATGTTGTACTGCATTAAATATTATTCTCATTTCAATCAAGCACAATATACAGAAAACTTTATGTTGAAAAAATAACTCACTAGATAAAAGGCAAGTAATTTATTGCCTTAAAAAAAACAAAGCAATGGAGTGTGTGAGAATATGATTACTATGAGGTTTGCTCCATAAATTATTTTCTAGTGTGTTCTAAAACTTATCTAAATCACGCCTGCCAAAATAAGAAATCTTAAATCAAATAAAAAGTTGCTCCCTTGCCACATCGTACAGAATCCTTTACTTCTTACTTAAATGATTAGAACTCGTACCAGCTGACTCCATTACACTTTGATGTGAAATCAAGCATCCCCACGGTTCACACACACTGAACAGGTACGAAAAATTCTCCAGTTCACTTTCGCACAAATTACTAAAATGCCTAAAAAATATGAGGACCACTTGAGACCTTAACAGAAAACACAGCCTTCTAAATGTTACCGGTCAATACGACATTACCCTACGGTTCTACATACATATTTACATATCCATTTTTGAACCGACGCAGTTTGGCAGAAACGTCAAACTGCATGTAGGCCATGCTCCAAAATGTACTTTGCGTGCAAAATTGACAAAGGAATGATTGTAACTTGATGGCGTGAATGACACATGAACCAGCAAAGCTAAAGAAGCAGTCTCATTGCGAAATGGAATTTAGTGGCAGTCGAAGCAGTTCAAAAAGAACACCTAACTTTGTAAAATAATGGCAGTTTGTACAAATGTTACACCGCGAGTACGAAATGCCCTATGAAAAAAACCGGTCAGCGCAACATCCTCTATACATACAGACGACACATATATACACACACCAAACGCATACAAATAATAGGGAGAAATAAAGAATCATTCTGATAGATAGCAAATAATCCGTGGGATACAGTGGCAAGCAAATAGTTTTAAGACAATGACGGTAAGCAAGCTTAGACGATGAGAAAATATAGTTGGAAAAGAATGAATCGCTTACAATCTAGAAAGAATCTATCTATTGAATTCAGAGTCAGAGCACTCACTACTACTATGACTACTACCACCATTTACAAGTCCTTGTTGCATTAATTGCCAGAAATTTTGCCCATTCATTTCGTAAAGCATGAATCAGTTAAACTATTCATACTACTACTAATTGAGTACTGGTCATATATTTGTGATTCACTCGTAGACATTCAATTTATTTTGCATACAGGTAAAATAAGTAAACAAGAGAATGCTCAACGACGACTGATTCATTATCAGGACAATACACCCATTTTGCAGTCATAGTAATGAAGGAAGTGATACTGATAGAAGAGTACAAGATCCCGGGATAAACAAAGGGGATTTATTGGTGCATAAATTCATGTCTAGTTGATATGTAGGTTATGCGTACACGCCAAAAGGAAAACGAGGTTATACACTAGTACAACGCGCACACACGCACACGCGCCATATATATATATATATATATATATAACGCTCCAAATTTTGTATTGTAGTAGTGTCATCACGGTCTGCATACATCAACAAAAACAGAAAGACAACCTTCTGTCCCACTGCAGCTACACCTCGGTGCAAACATGGGAAACGCAGTATAATGGCGCAGCCGTTTCACAAACCCTAGAGCCCCCGTGACTTTCCCTACACAACTGATCACGACAAATTACATCATAAAAGGTTATGATAGTAGCAATAGCAAAAACCACTGTCTCCTTAATGAAGACAAAAATTCGTTGAAACTCGGTAGCTGCAACAATAAAGCTACTAACACCAGATCGCATTACAACCAATATCCTTATCTTAATAAAGCTGACTTCTTCCAGCAACGTTAACAGAGAAGATTGTGATGCATATGCAGTCAACCATTTTATTTAAAGATGGAGTTATATTCGTCTCCAACTTTACAACTAAAGTCACAAAATAAACGCCCATCATTTGTAGACATTTCAAAACGTCGCCCTTAATTATCAAAAAATGTTGATAAACATTTCAGCATCCAGCTTACAACATACAATGAAAATTAACAAGTTCCAGAGCAGTTGAATTTAGTACAATCACAAATGACAACCAAGCAAACTGCCAGCAATCGCCACTCCGAAGCACTCATCATTCAAACAATACTATAACCCACAACTCATCTTGGCAAACCCTCCAATTTTAATACCTCATATACATGAACTCCGTCGCCTAGCAGTTAATTTTGGACAGTTTTTCCTACAAATCTGAATATTCTCATAATTGAAGAACCCACATGTTAAAACCTTGCACTATCGATGCGTGTCCTACAGCAGTTGTATACCCGACACCCGTAAAATTCGCAGATCCTGATAAAGGAATTTTGATCACTTAAACTTAGCTGGATACCTTATCATTTCCCGCCACTTTCCAAAACCAGAAATTATATTAGCGGTTAACTGTGACTAGTGCTGCCAACTTTATGTTCATAGCACATATTACAATCATGGTATATAAGAAATCTTTGAGCGTTAAAACTCACTTACTGTGTAAGTCGATGATTACTAAAGATAATTCTAGAAATAAATTAATAACACTGTCTGTTTTGTACCGGCAATCATGGTACAAATAAATCAGTTCAGGGAAATATAAGTAAATCTCTCACAGGAATCATTTTAGTGATTCCAACATTGATAACAAAAAAATTTGACAGTGTCAAACTGGTACGAAAAGTATGAGAAGGAAATGAGAGTAAGCACTTAGAATTTAAGGGATTGAATGGAATGAATGACTTTGCACGCATTCACATGTGACTTATGCACAAATGAGAAAGCAGTGAAAAGCTCAACATGACATGATTTTTGTGACTGATTCCAGTCACACGCACAGAAATAACAGAGAAAGTAATTCGAACTTGTTCATCTTCATCTTATCCCTCTCAATGAGGATAATCACCAATAACTAGCCTATAGAACAGGGACAATTACTACGAGTACATAAGAAATACCGAAAGAATGATAAAATAAAACCAGTAAATATTGCACAGATGAAGGGATCTATTTATCGATGATAGCTTACACTTTTTCTCCTTAATGCACAATTCCCCTAACCACTATTGACCTTTCTGAAGAATACTCGTGCATGTACGGAAAACCACCAGAGCGCGAGAGGCAGAGAAGACGAAGTGAGGAGGATGAGAGGGAAAGAGCAAGAATAAGATCTACAATTCACACAAGTTACATACACCATCAACAACATACTCCATCTTTCTTCCTCTGCAGCCGAGGTGGTCCGCAAAGAAATTGGAAGATATGATAGATAAGAATAGATATATTAGTAGACAGATACATTAATAAAGAATAACCCCGAGACTTCTCGATAATTCAACTGACATGCCAGTGAGACGAGATTAACTTCATCCTTATTACACATTTCTGAACAAACTTCTTGATAGCCCAATGCTGAATGCTGTCAGCTGGTCAGAGTGCCCTTTCTCATAGCCACATAATCCCGCTTTACCAAACAAATAAACGGAACTCATTGATACTATTTATTAACTGATGCACGGAGACATCACCCATTGACTGTAAAATGGCATACTTGAAAGTGCGGGAAGACAAGCATGAGCAAATCCCAGTAGCGTGAATATGCAAAGTCATACAAATATGAAAATAATACCAGATGATGTCCAGGTAAGCTGCAAACCTATGCCCATGCATGCATGCGTGCATTTGTGTGTCAAGACAACCTTTGGGATGTCGCCTAGTGGTGTGGGATGCTCCGGAACAGAGATCGTAGAGGATGTGCTCATAGATTGCCCCACTTCATGTCTTCCTATCTCTGTATCTTATAGGAATATCAACAAGAGAGGCATCTTTTTGACAGAAAGAAAAGTGTGTGAAAAGAGTGAAGGGGAGCAAGAAAAAGGGAGAATATATCTCAGACAGAATCAACAACCCAAACAATAACATTCAATCAAACTACTCTGATACAGACACAAGACAAAATCATAGGTGAAAGGAGGTATCTGGAAACTTTGGAGTGAAGAGGAGAAGAGAGTAAGCAACTTCAAGACATTCCTTGCTTTTCTTTTCTTCTCTCAAACTTCGTTATACATCAACGATTTCTCTCTATCATTACTGCCATAGTATGAGGCAAAGACAGAAATGAATCTGCGATTCACTACTTATAAATACAAATGAAGAGAAGACCAGAAAAAGAGTGAAACAAAGAACAAGTTAAAAAGATGACCCCGTTGGCATAGAGGGGTTGATCGGGATCTAGTCAACTAAGAATTTGCATCAAGACATATTTATTTCATCCACCCTCTCACTATCTGGTAATGCTATTTAAAATAGGGATAGAAAAATACACTAGCACGTGGACTGTTTACCTTGACCTTTAGCAGGGAACAGAGTGTATGTAATTCAGTGTGATAAATCATTATTAGCAGCAATATTTTCAGGATGTGGAGCTAGGAAATCTTATCAGGAACCAGGATGAATTAAACATAATATAGTTTTACAGGAATTCCAAAAGTTCGAGTTGAACCTAATTTTGACAGGAAGCAGTAGTTAGTTACTGTAGCGTCATCTAACGCCACAGAAAGTAAGCTATTTTCTACGACTGTCCAAACTAAGCATCTCAATAATTAAATAATGTGAGACAGTTTGTAGGAATTAGGCGTGCGTGTGGACTGACAGCTGTGAATAAATAAATAGATTAATATATATATATATATATATTTTAAAGCACGAGCGAAACAAACAACTTGCTTACTTGCACTTACTTGCCTCGGGGTAAGACGTAAGACAACAACCCGAAAATGATGAGGAAGTTTAATACAAAGTCCAGTTAGAACATATTTTGACTATGGCTCTGCTCCATCACACTATTTACTACTCTTCCTTAGTTTACTGTGTAAAATATAGTCTACTTCTCTTTGCAAATTTCCTTCCACTCCATCAATATTCCCATCCTGTAACTAAGCCACATCTTCCGCATAATATATCATAAAAATTTCTGATTGTTATCAACAAAGACTTAGAATATTTGGCATTGACGAACAACACAGCACCTATTCATCATATTAGTGATCTTCAACTATTTGCATACATAACCAACAACAGAAATTTCTGCGATCCAAACAACTATTATTCGACACTGTTCTTAAAAAAGTAGAAAATTGATTTTTTCACACACATACAGAGAGGGAGAGTGGGCAAGAATTATTCTTCGCTAATTTGTCCCTTATAAGTAGTGACCATCAGAAATGGAATGATTGAGAACTAGAAGTAAACCAAGAAAATTATGCATGCTGAAAATACGATTTCAAATCCAATGCAATGATCACAGGGAATTTCAAATACAAATGTGAGTCGAAGAGGCATATGTTACTACTAATTTTTACTTTGATACTTATTCTGATACAAAAATTAGAACATGGTAGATCAAGTCCAAGAGGATCTTCAATTCGCCATTACCTGACACCAATAATAACATTTTTCTAACCAAACTAAACATGGCTACCTGTAGTGAGAGGAGAAATTGCCATCAATATATACTGCACTGCCTATATCATTTTACTGAACGATGCAAGAAACATACCCATCTGTTATCATGCGAGGTGTTATATCCATATGAACAACGTGGTTCAACAGTTGTGCTCGGAATGGCAATCCATTTGCAGGAGTCCCACCATTAGGACCAAGTTGTGACATTGAATACTGATCTAAATTTATGCCTTATTTTAACTATGAAATCAGAACAAAAATTGAAATTATAAGTTTCATTGTTTTAGAAAAAAAGGAGAAATATAATTTTTAGCCAAATAAGTGGAATTCTACATAAAATAGTTACACAAAAAGTGAACACAATCTACTAAAATCATTGGTATCTTAAACTTTCTTCGTCTAAATCTCATATTCTAATGTCCTTCCTAATTATTACTTCGTGTTGCACAAAAACCGATATTCAGTAAACTTTCATAGGTGAAAAAGTGAAACATTAAAATTTAATACCCAAAAAGCACATAAAAATATGAAGTAGCTAAACATTATGCCTAATGTTCTGGTTACCAATGTCTTTCTTATCAAATTAAAACCTGCTGCCCTTCGTAACTATGACGTATTCAAGCAACAATTTTTCTGTATGTCTTGGCTGACAACATGCTTCTGAGACTACAACTTTCTCTTAAGAAGCTAGAAGGATTTTTTTAGACAAGTGTTTAAGAAGAAATTTACATGAAAACAGAAATTTTGCAAGTACCAAATATTGCATGATGAAACTAATCATTACTCTGAAATTACATAACATAAACTGCCCTGTCAGTACAAAACCTTTGATGTTCATTGGTGTGAAGTGAAACCCAATTAGCTAGAAAGACTTTAACACTCAATAATTATTCTTCTAGCTAAGAAAAATACCTTAATCGAAGTTATTTTTCATAAGATATACAAGTTTAAGATTGAAATATAAAAGAAGATAGCAAGCTAAGAAATCTTGGATCCTGAACTGCACTAAACCAAATTAAGAAAATTAATATTGGGATTTATGACGTCTACAAAATTGCCTTTTCCTTAAAGACTATTTCAATGAATGTCAGATAATGAACATTAGATTCTTACACACGGGAAATATCTCTTTAAAACCAAGTTAAAAAGTTTGGTCAGGCACAAAACTAGAAATACCATAATCATTCTTAACTCTCCCTAATGACATAGGAGCACAATAGTATGTTTCCATAAGACAATTCTATAAAAATAACAGTGCGCGCTTACCTCTACTTAATAATATCAATTCATGTCCGGTAAACAGCAAAAGGTGAAGAGTAGAGTGAACCAAACAATGGTGCAGGAAAATACACCACCAAGATTTTAAGAACAATGGTGCCAAATTAGAATGTTTAAAAGATAGCTCATAAAGAAGAAGAAACCTGGTGTTACAGCATTCTGAGGTCGAGTGCACAACGCAGGTGGAGTATTGGACGATGAGGCGACCATATGTTGAGAATAAACAGCTCGACCGGCCACAGGCTTTAGCTGGGCCGGTTGCAACAATGGTGGTGCAATTGCCACGACGAAAAGTTGTGGCGGTTTAACACTTGCTATTTCATACAGTCAGTGATCTGCACGAACCTGTAAAAAATTAGCTTTTCAGTAAAACTGCCGTTAATTGATGACATGAGCGTTCGCTTACTCATAAATAAACGTGAAAAACAGTCAGGATTTTTCATCAAATATTAAAAAAAGAACAGATAAGTTAGCCAAATCTAATAACCCGTCCACTGAAAACTTTAAGCTACTGCAGAGCAAAACAGTGACACAATCACTCTGTCACAAACAGTCGTTGGTAGATCATAGATTAATACATTAGTCATTTGTACACTGTCGGAAAAGCACTGATGTGAAAGAAGGAATAGCATAGTTTAAAGAATCAAATTTAACATTAACTGGCAGTAATGTCATTACCGATACATAGTTGTGGTAATGCCTTCCTGACGTTAGTGCAATAATAAAATAAAAGAAAAAAAAACTAAGCAGTTGCAATTTTTTCTGAATCACTTTCTATATTTAGCTAATAAAAAATGAATAAAGGAACAAATGAATGGACAAATCCCATGTCACGAGACAAAAAGAATTCGCTGAGGTTGGCGACTACTATTTTTCACCTTTTTAACTAATGACTTTTTGAAATAATTAAAAAAATTGATGAAGGGCAAATCTGAATCGAAGAATAACAATTTTCAACTTAGGGCCAGTAGGTATTTGCTGAACTTCACTGCATTACAGTTACAATTTAAATCAGTAAATACTGCAATCAGCACTTTCATTTAGTTCGGCAAGCTGAAATTGCCAGGTCGTTCCTATACTTTTTATTTATATTATGGAAATCGCTATAAAAGGAAAATGATTGCTAAGAATAATTCTCACCATACGTAGATAAAAAATTTAGTTTAGAAAATAGCAAATGCAATGAAACTGCTATGAAGTCAAACAACACACTGCGTATAACTACCTAGACCTAAGTCAAAAAATATGAGAATCGACGAAATATTTTCCAAGTAGTAATTTCACAGTAAGCTAGCTGATCAAATCTTCTACTGAAGATACATAATTATTAATCTCAAATTCCTCTGATGTCTCACTGATGCTTACCTGACCTTTTATTCAGGTAATGAATAACCAGCCACAATTTTTTATTAACAACGGTACAGAACTGAGATATAGAATGTGAAGTTGAGCCTTGCGCTTGCTACAGTTATATAGAATGATAAGCAACAATCGCAAATCCAATTGTTTAAACGAACTGAAAATTTATAAATAGCAATGTTCTCTTGATATCACTGGTAAACGTTCAATACCAAATATTAGATTAATTTTTAGACATCTTTCATACATTAACTGCTAACATCCTTCTTCACTTTCGGTTGCCAATAATTAATCAGCATTTTTGAACAAATTTAACTAGCAAATATGTTCGATGTAATAATGATAGAACTACACTGAACTGAAAGACCTGCTTAAAGCTTTCATTAAGTATTACAACTGTATCAAAAAAGCATAGAACTTTGACAATTCAGCTCCCACCAAAATTTTTCAGTTTCGACATAACTCTCCTGAATCTCAAAACTAAAGCAAAATCATATGCACCACCCTATGCAATGTAAGCACAGCAATATTAAAAATGAATACCACTTCATTTCACAGAAGTAACAGAATCGGTGATAGTGCAAGATCAGCTAAAGTATGATATTTAATTGTTGATATTAAAATAAACAGCAATATCTTGTGTATAACATACGCAAAAACTGAATCTCAGTAATATGGATTAGATGCAAGTGTTTAAAAAAATGCGGAAGAAGATACAACATAATAAAAAAATGGAGAATAAAGACATAATCGACTTGTTTGAAAATATAAATATATATATATATTTTTTTTCCATTTTTCTTTTTAGATAGATAGATCTTATGTATATATAGATATGAATAAGACTTCTGACCGATAACGTGCTAAATTATTTCTAGCATGAACCAAAGTACCCTTCTATTGTGTTGTTGGACAAATTAATTTCTGAAATAAGTAAATCAACTTTTTTGCCATATTTCCATTTTATGACTGAATCACCTAAAACAATCTACAAGAAATAAGTATGAATATTGCAACTAAAATCCAACGAAATTAGTCTACACATGTTTCGAAGCTCAACAAAGGAGAGAATTGTATGATTCAATCACCGTTTATACTCATACACAGCACAATAACAAAGCTCAAAATATTAAAGTCTAACAAGGAGGGAGACTGACGATTTGTTGAAAGTTGATCAGCTTTCTTTACAATGTCAATTACTCGCGGAACGAAAAGAAACGAGAGAAAAGTGTACATGCCTGTCATAAAAAAAGGAAAAGCCATGAAGAATGTATACAATAAGAAAGAGACCCAGATTTAAGCAATGGTGAGATGAAAGACAGTATAATTCCCGTGCACTTGTAACTATTGGGTGATTTACAAGTTCTGTAGCGATTCCCAACACTAAGGATAAACATGAGTGACATTGAAAACATACACCTACACCTGACTGAAAATAAGATGGAAGGAAATAGCGGGTTGAGATGGAATTGGACGGGGAAACCATGGTTAATGACAGAAATGTTCCCATCTGAGCCCTCTCTGCAACGAGAAATGAGTGGAAAGTCAGAAGGGAATGTGACTACTATCTATCTGGTTTAGTTACAAAGGAAAAAATTGCCTCTTTGCAAAAACCAGCAGCCGTTCTAGTAGCAACAGCATCAGCAGCTGTAATATATCTTTGAGAAACATAAAAGCTTAGGTAACGCTCAGCAGAACTTCAATATCACGAAAGGAGGGAACAAACCATCAACCACAATAATGATGCACATAATTAACAAATAAAAATCTAATCTAAATAAGACCTCTTAGTCGGCAGGATACACTAAGAAACACAAAAGCCAAAAGTAATTATAGATACTGTCATAAACCTGAAACGAAAATGAATAGAAGGAAAGCAATTAGTCTCAGAAGAATCTGCATTGTAACAAACAAATGCATTTCCTGAAATTAACAGCAAGTGCTGAAAACGAGTGCTGCAAATGTGAGCAAAATGGCAGACTCGACCTTAAAGCTTAAGCTTGCTTGTTAAATAGACGAAAAAAAAGTGTAATGCTTGTTTCCTTCTACGCATTCAAACAATATATATGTTGGTCCCAACATTATTAATAACATAATTAATATTATTAGTAATATTGACATCCTTATTTTCAATATAGCTCTCTACCACTGCAACTATTATCATCGATTATGTTACAATTATCGTCATTTTTAATATTATCAGTAGAATTAGCACCATAATTAATATTATGTTTAGTATAAAACCATTCCAGTTAACATGCTAATGATAGAGTCTTCATACTTATTATCGACACTACTAATACTTGTATTATTTTTAAAAACACGAAGTGACCATTATTGCTATAATAGCACCATTATTTATTCTTTACTTATCTAATTCACTTCAGGTATATGTTCAAGAACTGTTGCTGTGCATGATTACAGTTAAAAGCACTACAAATCTTCTTTAATATCACGGTTTGCCATCAGCAACATCAGTTTTGCTCAATCAGAACTTTGTGGGAACATAACATTTCAGTACTCTTTTCCATCATATAAATAGTTACTTGCAATCAGTCACTATTGTTCAGATGCTAGTGATATTTTGCAGTTTAAGAATTTTATGGACATAACAGCAGAATACTAATTCCATTATTTATTTAGTAAGATACTTAACAACTTAAAATAAATTTTTTAACTGTGTTTAAATGTATAATTTGTAATGTTTTATAATGTATTTCAGTGAATGCATGGAATTTGCAGAGAGAAAGAGCAATAATTATAGCTGGGTATTTTACCAATTTCGAATAAATGATTCTCGCAATTTTTTTTCGTCTTCAATTTTGTTTAAGTGCAACGGACTAAGATGAGAATCTGGACAAGAGCATTTTATCTCTATAAAGCATTAATTGCTACCAAATAAATGAAATTGCAAGGCTGAAAATCAATTTCACTATAAAATGAAATCCTGAACAGACAGATATATAGATTGTGCACTTGATTTCTATCAAGTTACACACAAGCTTATACACACGAAAAAAAATACAGCTTAAGAATCCAGTAAAAACCAAAAAAAGATTAGAGGATCATTTTTGCTAACGCTTGCTGCATCTGTTAAACTGCTTCGTTATGTTGAAGAGCATAAAGGCAAAGAGAATCAAATTTAGTACATTCTACACAGACCTTGATGGCGCAAACAAAAAAAGTTGAAGAGGGAATAATTTACGAAGATGGAAAGAAATAAGAGAAATGACGTCTACTTCCGGTATTACTGATAAATTTATAATAGGAGACAGCGCGACATTTCTTTCCCAGAACATTTCCATCTCATACGGTATTGTGAAGGATTTTGCTTTTCTAGTTGACAACTAAAAATTTGTATAGGAAAAAGCATTTTTGTGACGCCCAAAAAAAGGAGTGCGTGAATATTTTTGCACTATTTGAAAAGCGCACATTCAGACAATGTAACTGAATTTTCATTGTTATCACAATTTCTTTCATCCTAAAGTTTTACAGATCTTTATTATTCCTTAATCAGATTTTTGCTCTACACCATTAGCTGCAAATCATTATAAAGTAATAGTTTTCCTTACTTTATCTTTACTATACATATTATTAAAAATAAATAATTTCCGCCTTCAATTCCAGTCCTTTTTTAGTATTCTTTGTATCTTTTTTACAGAACTAAACACATACTTTTCAAGAAAGAGCATAAATGATCAAGATAGATAACGTGTTTAACAAAGTATGCATTTAAATGCAGGAATTCGCTTCTATCTGCAAGGACTATGATGGGAACATCACAGTAAAATCACTGAACTGTTGAAATAGAAAACAATTCAAATGGAACACTCAAATAATATGCATAAAAAGTTTTTGCATCGCACTACTCTGCATCATATCTTCGTTCGGTCATTTAAAAACATCATATGATGGGAACCTTTCCCTCCAAATATGTTTCCTATTCAAAATTATAGTCTTTATAAGTGTCTGGCAATAATTTAATGAGTAATTACGATATTTGCGTAAGAATCTCAAAGACAACATATTGCATGATGAGAGAAAAACATGAAGGGCTCTACTAAACAGTGAAATTGTTTGATATTTAAAGCACTCTAAGTTTTTATGATGTGCAGATAATTATTAGCAGACAAATACGTCACAGAAAACATGGCATGCGATATGGAGTAAATCAAGCGATGCATCTCTTCGTCTACCTTTATAATCAGATCGTATAATTGCAAATAAGTGCAGTAGAAGCATAGAATTATTAAGGAATACGAGAACTGTGGCTGAATTTCGTTTGTCTTTTGTTTTCCAGCGAGAAATGATGGAAGAGATATTTTTAGACTGAATAAAGAGTAGAGCAAAATATTTCCTGCAATAATGAAATTTATGGGAAAAAATAAGCTATGCATTATTGTAGTGTTAAAGAAAGTATCGCGTGAATTATTTTTATACAATTTTGCTGCAAAAGTCCCGATAATGAAAAGAAAAAGAAGGGAAAGGTGAAGTATTTTCGACGGGTATCGATGAAAAAAGTATTCGAAGCAGCTGAATTTCTAGATTTTACATTATACTTCTACCGAGGAAGTAAGAAAGTAACAAAAATGATTCGAATAATAGCAAAGTAAACACAAAACAAAACACTGAACATTATAATATGAAACAAAGAATTGGAGCGTTTTCGAAAAAATTTCGTGAAAACTTTACTGTTACCGTCTCCGAGTGAAATTAAGCAAGAAAGACTCATTATATATAGAAAAAACTGAAGAAAGAATTTTCAGATTGGTACAGAGTATGCAAGAACTTTGTAAAAACAATTTTTAGCATTCTGGATAGAAGGGGTTAGAAGGAGTGTATATGTATGTGTGCCTGCTCCTGCAATCCAGACTAAAAGATTGTATTTGCACACACATGTGCAACACACATGCGTGATAACATGAGTGTTGTTTAGTCTTTTTAGAGTTTACAACTAAATTAGATGGTTTTAAATGAATTTCACGATGAAGTAGTATTGAAATCGAGCGATATGAACAACTCTTAATACTTTTACAAAATCTGGTAGATTTAGAGATAGTGTGGTAATTAAAAAATAAGTTTTGAGAAAGCATAAATAACCATTAAAAACCCAAGAGAATCAATCTTTATGTCATCTAAATATAGCTTCTTACAGTAACCGCTAAAGAGTAGCGCTTTAAAATAACTGTCATCTTATCAACGCTCACTTTCTCGCATCAAATCCATTACAGTCATTTTATTTATGCTCGCAAAATCTTGCTAGAATAGCGTCAAATTTATTTAAATTTCTCTACCGATGTGATCCAAGTTTTTCATGCCAGGCACATACATTTATTAGGTGATAAATGAACAATTATTCATTTGCAGTTACTTTTGCGATACAGATGTACATGTAATTCTAAATGGCAGTTAAAAATGCCATGAGCAAGAAAAAGATCTTATCTTAACAAACAAAATCTGTTTCTTATTTTCACTTATTTCTTCACTTCATTCTTAATTTTCATCGAGAGAGCAATGATGAGGCAAAAAAGTTATACAGTAAGAAAAAGCTGGTGATAAAAATATATTCCAATTTTGCTCGCTGCGAGCCATAAACTGCCAAACTTCAAATTAAACATTTTATTATTAAACTATATCAGCAGGGAGTAAGTTGAAGTTATTAGATTTTTAGATTTAAAAAATGCTCATTTCATGACCTGGATTTTTTTCCTTGACGCCATCTGCTAGTCAAACAAAAATATTAGATATATCTTTAGTAGAATTAAAATGATCGAGCGGAAAAGTTGAAACTTCGTTTAACTTTAGCTCATTTGCAGCTACTGGATAAAGGAGTTAAGACACGAAATCTGCCTCTGTGTTTCAAAGTGTTGTTTTCTTCTTATCTCAGAAATCACTAAGCTACACACTTAAAAATTAACAACTACCACTGGCACGGTCCTCTCTGAATTTAGAATATGTAGTTAACACGTTGAGGTCACCTAAACAAAAAATGTTGACGCCTCAGAATTATACGCTGATATTCCTTCTTTCACATATGCAAGCAAAAACTGTAGAAAAAGATAAATGATCAAAGTACATAGAGACTAATTTTGAATGCAATCAAAAGAAAATTCCTTTGGAAATATAGAGATTATTTTGAATGCATTCGAAATTTAGAAAAATTTCCTATAAAAATCCTTTACTCTGGCAAATTTATTATTTACTAACATAAGTTTCTGATTAAAATGAAACATTCAAACATTTACTGACCTACTGACTCAGTACTATATGTAAAAATACCTTTCTGTGCATCAAATTCCATTTTTAAATGGAGCTTACTAATCATCAAAACTGCACTCATTAACAGATTAAAAAGGCATCACTTGATGAGTTGCTGCTATGTTACTGCTATGCATTTTCCAGCAATACATTCTAAATATCCACTAGTCACTTCAATTAGTAAAAAAAGATAGTAAATTTAAGAGTCACATTATATAAACTAAATCAACCTTATCCAGATACTGCTTAAATTTTGCAAAAAATGAACTTATTTTGATGCTAAATATTTTAAATTTTTATCTCTGAAATTAATGACCTATTTTATCTTGCTTTTTGATGGACAAACAACCAGAATCTTTCAAAAATTTCCACCACTGGAACTGAAAAAGGAGAATGCTTAGCAAAGAATCATGCATGCCAATAAGATACAAAGAATTCATCAATGTTTAAACTCAAAAATTAGCTAACCATACAAAGCTCTCTGAGGTGACTGAATGAGAATGAGAATAGCATATTTTATTCTAAATAAATCGTCTCATAACATAAATTAAGAGGTAATCCACTTTAAGCAGTGTTTGCATTCACAAATTTTGGTAATCAACAATGATTTGAAAACTGTGCAAAAAAATTTCCACAGTAAAAATGTTGCACTTCAGTGGTTTATGAATGAATAATTCTTATTGCTTCACGAATGTTCAGTAATTGTTCTCAAACGACTACCAGCCTTTCAAAATGCAGAATTTATTAAAAGAAAATTGAACTTCGATGCACCTAAAAAATTTACTCAAATAGAAACTATTAAAAAATGGTTTTTCTTTCTTAAACAGAGAAAATTATTTAGTTCCCAATTTGAAGTATTTCTGTGAGCAAATTTTAGACTGTTGTTGATGAATGGTATCAATCAGCATTATGTAAGAAAACTGTGGTAAAGGATTCATACAATGGTAAATGAATGCATTAAATTTGAGAACTGCTAGTCAGAACTATTGTGTAGTTGTAATTTACAGGTTTCTAATTAATCGTGAGTAAAGATTCATACATGGAAGCACTCAAGAAAAGCTTTAGAATTTTCGACTTCTCATGAAAAGTTTCAGCAGCACTTCTAAACTCTTCATCCGTTTGATTTGAAAGAAAAATTCTTCCCAATAATATAAAAGAGAATTTGGTAATGACAGAAATTCAATATTCACATGAGTTCTATTGTTACGGAAAAGTCTGTCAGAAAAAAAACCAAAAAGATATGAATAGGAGACATTAGTGAAAAGGAAATAATAAGTGAAAATTTCTCGTTTCGTTTTAGCATAGGGAACAAATAAGTCATGCAATGAAAGTAGAAAACTTCAGTAAATGATGAAAAAAAAACTTTATAATTAAGTCACATTTTGATACGCGAATTTCCACACATTCTGTAGCAAATTTGAAACAAAATCGCATCATATCATTCAAAACATGTCTCCTACTCGCTAAATAAAATATTCTCGTAAGAGAGGTAATGAGATAGTAACATTAAAGCTAACCAACCGAAACAACCAGCTGTCATTTCATTAGCGGCCAAATTTTGATGGACTCTGTTTTAAACCGAAATACACAAGCAATATATTTTAATCTATTTGGAAAAATATTTAGGAGCTGAAATTAGAAATATCCAAGTTTTTGAATTTTGTTGCTTTCTGCATTTTATACTTAGCTATAAAAACTATAGAATAATCATCGAGTAATCGAGATGATTGAAATAGATATTTGTTCAAAAAAATTTCTAGAGAAAAAAAAAGACTCAAATTAGAGCATTCAGTTTAAAGCTGCAAAATAAATATCACACTCCAAAAAAAAAAAAACCGAATCAACGTTGAAATGCAAGTTTAGTAAGAAGAAACCAAGCTTTGACATTTGTCAACTTCAGGCATTCAAGTTTTAAATGAGCTTAGTCAGCTTTCATTAAATTGCGACTAAAAAAATATCAGCAAGTCACAATATTTTCTGCTTTTTATTTCAAACAACAAATATTAAATAGGTTATAGATCCAAAAAATTTTTTTTTAAAAAATATAATTTTGCCTTAGGTGAACACTGAACCCTTCAATCTGGAACTACATTTCTGCTTAATCGTCTATTTGCTCAAAAATGCAGCAGACAACACTGATTTCATATAAAGGTCATAGTATATGGATAGAATTTTATGAGGGAGGAAATGTGAGCAGAAATTTATAGGGAAGAAACGAAAACGAAGAAAGCAGTGTACCATTTAGAGACAGAGTAAGAATTGTCGACATTGGTGAAATGACTGAGAGGATGTGGGAGAAAATAAAAGAGTTGTGATGTTCTCTTCCTCATCATTTATTTAGGCATTGTGTTTGTGTGGGCTGTGAAGATTTAGTATGGATTTTGATTGGTGTGTTTGATAAAATATGCATATTTTTTTAAGGAATGATAAGTTTGCAAGAGATGAGGCAAAAATAACTGAACTGTTGGCAATATTTGTGTGGTGAAGGCGTTTATAGTAAAAATGGATATTGTTGACAGGCAAATAATCGACACATTACTTCGGCTTGATCCGTAATTACTTTTAATATTACCATTAATGGATTCTTGTTTCTTTTATCAAAAGGTTACCCATAACATGTAATAATCAAGACTTATTTAGAAATTTTTTCGATGGTTTTTCACAAATTCCAAGCAGTGTCGCAGATTTCCATACGGAAACTTTTTATCAAGCCATTGTGCTGTTGATATGGTCATGTAAACGTAATATCAAGTGATTCTTTTCTATCTCGTAACTTTTCATCATGTATGTAAGCATAGTGGTAGAATTTAGATTGGATTTTGGTAAATCAATGAGTTTTCGATATCTCTAAGGAATGATAAGTGTTTTATGGATGAGGCAGAAATGCAAGATCATATCATTGTTTGCTATAGTTTGATTACTTTAACATGTCATAAATTTCAGATTAGATGTTCCATCAAGACTATTCCCACAAAGTATGTCAGTGAAGTTCCGATGTGCGGCAAATGTTGCTGATGCTGTAAAGGTTAAATTTCTATCAAAATATTGTAGCTGCTTGAGTTCGGCAAAGTATTAGTACTTTTTCGTGATTTGTGAAGCTCATAAACGATTGTATCAGTTTTATGATTACTTTAATGACTAATCTTTTTGCTTTGTATTGTAGAGCATTGGAGTGCGTGATCCATTTGATTACCAGATGCTGCTTTATGGACGAAGTAAAGAGTTACGTAACGTTCTTATTGGTCTAATCGAGAAATTACCCAGAGATTCAGCTGTTATCACTGTTGTCGAAGGTATTTCGGAACATTATTTCTTGCCTTGGAACAGTTCAGCGGTTTTTACTGTAAAATTCTTCATCATGTTTTCATGGCGAAGTAATTTATTGATAAAATTCAGATCCATTGGTTGACATAATTCGGTCAGCTATATCAATACATGAATATAAGGATCAATGTTACGAATTGTACGCATCTGAGCAGCAAGCATGGGTAAATATATTTATATTTAATTACGTGTAGAAGTGATCGTCAAAAATGCTCGTAACTATAAAATGTCTGATATCATTCTAGAATATTTTAGAGTCAGGCAACAAGGTTTGATTTCATGGGCTGCTGTGGTGACGTAATGACTGCACTAAATTGCAATGACTGGCGGTACAATCAAAGTGCATTTATATGTTCTCTATTAGAACATAATGCCGTCGGTAACAGTCAGGCACAAACTTGTCAGTCCATTAAAAATGAAACTTTAGACGCTTCGCAGACTAAATATTCTACTATCAATAAGTTACTTGAATCACGGTATATTATTAGCTTTTCATATTAATGTTTTCCAGTGCTGAACTTATTCTTTATCAATTAAGTGTGAAGATAGCTCAATCCTAATTATTATTACACTGAACTTCATTTTTTAGGATCAGATGTAAGCCATCTCTGTTTCCAAAACCTCGTAAAGAGGTACAAATGAAAGTCAAGATTCCAAAAGAAGAAATCAACAATGAAAAACTAAATAAGCTAATCAATGAAGTTATATCTTTGGCAGCTTCTGTCAATCGTAAAAAGATGTCTGAAATTAAAGTGTGTGTTATATATGGTTGTTACAATATTGTGTAAATTATAATAAGTTCTTTAAAATACTCAGTAAGAAAGCTATTTCGTCTTAGAAAATTGTGTATTCTCTACCAAATTAGTAGTTCATATACTAGTTTCAATTAGTAGTTTCACTGTTTGTTCATGTAAGATATAAAATTTAATTTTAGTTAAGAAGTGAAGAAGCAGAACGATCATTTACTTTGAATTGCAAAAAATGTAAAGAAAGTGAAGTTGATGGTCGACTTAAAAAATTGCTGGAAGACTCAAATGCTGTTTTAAAGCTGAAGGTTACTTGATGTCTGAATTCACTTAGGCTTTATTGTCTTAATACTTTATATTTCCCTAGTAAATAAAATTCTTTCCTACTTCATATTCGTTATGTAATATACAATTGCAGAATTATATTGAAGAAAGTGATGAGAGGATGCACCATTTGCAAAATGTATGGTTTAGAGCGAAAGCTGAAAAAGATGAGGAGGTGAACACTAAGCGACTGGCTGTGTCATCATCGGTCTGTGAAATATTGATGAGCTGATAAGCTGCTTATTTTGATTTTATTTGTTTTTGAATAAATTAATTAGTTGCAGGATTATGCACATTGCAGTAGGGACTTCGATGCAAAAAATACGAAGCTGATTGAAGACGACATTGTTATCAAAAAGAAAACCCTCGCAGAACTAGTGTGTTTTATGATGTTATTGTGAAAATTTATCTTAACTTTAAAGACTTTGGGAAGTATCTGTAAATTCATTTTCAGACAAATCAAATCGTAGCAAAGGAAGAAAAGCAAATTGATCGAAGCATTTATACAAAGCATATATTCGATATGGTTAGTAACATCAGAAAACAACAAGATGAAATTAATAAAGTGAGTTTACATCGATCAGTTTTTTAGAATATGTGTAAAACATCGCTTCATAAGAGGTTGATAAGAATCTATAATTACTCTCGTAGAAATGATATGATTGGAACCTAGTTAACAAAATGTGCAAGTGGAAAATCAAGTTTATCAAAATTTGGACAAGTTGAAGGATTTTAAAAGTAGTTTCATTGCAGAAAGTTAGGTACATTGCGATTACAGATTGCTGTTGAAAACTTTCATCTTCAAAAAGAAATCAAGTCAATCGCTGGGAAATTAGAGCGTTGTTTTACTGTAGTTGAAACGAAATTATACAAAGTACTTTCCAAAATTCTTTGTTACTTTAATTTTGTGGTATTTTTTTCTTTACTGGAAGCCACTAAGCTTGTTTGTTGAAAAAAAAAAGTTAAAAAATTGTATTCTGCGCTTATTTGTGGACGAATCTTAGGATGTTGAGAGGGATGCATCTTTACAAAAAGCGTATAGATTGTTGATGAAAATTCACGGTAAATGTGCTTGGATTATCTCTAGCATCGATTCTTCTGGATTATTAGAGTGGAAAATTGAAGAACTGAATGATCAGGTAAATATTCTGGTTTATTCTGGAGTTAGTAAAAATTATAAATGCTTGCTTGCAAATTCTTCGAAGCTGATAAGTAATGAATTTTATTGAGTGTAATCGAAAATCTAATTCCATGAAGTTGAAGACGGAGTTTTATCATCTTTTCTTTTATCATTAATTTATCCTTTTTAATTTTTTAAAGATTGCAATGCAGCAACAAAAAAAAATTGATGAAAAATTGGAACGGATCTTGATTGACTGGATGGGAATAAAAGAAGAAAATATGGTCTTGACAAAACTACTAAACGAAAATAATTAATTTGTAAACTCGTGATAGTTTGGTTCAGTAGTTCTTTTCATTCTCACAAAATTGAATTCGGCATTAGCACGTGAATAATACATGAAAATAATGTACCAATTCTTTCGTTCTTCTACAAATGGTACGACATTATTACTGATCGTATGTTATTGTTTGCTTAGAACATAAAGCTTGATTGTAACAAATTAGCAGGATTCCGTGTGTTAAAATATCATTATGGTGGACGGAAGTCGTGACAAGTTAGTAATTATGAATATCCTCATAAATTTACGAAGTTTTTGTCTTCATGAATGCGAACAGATTTTGTCATGGTAGTTGCTCTACGTGGCCTTGATTTTTTTTCATGCTTATGAATTAACGCAAAATATGCTTCAGAATCTTCATGGGAGAAAATGATTTTGCATAAATCTCATTCTTCGGTAAAGAAAGTGTGTATATTTAAAAAAAAAAAAAAAGAGCCGATCACAATTATTCTGTGCATGAAAGCAGTTCAATATTTCGGACAGCAGAGTTGTTAATATTGTCTATTTTGATGGGTGACGACGGGTTTCTTGGTCTTACTGGTCGTAAGGTATTTCTGTTTTCGAAAATCTGGGAGTTGTGTACATAATACCTTGGTGATTCAGATGACTAGACCCAAACATTTGCTTACACTGAAACAGACGTGGACATAGCAGAGATGGTGATGGGTTTTTAAAGCAACAATCTTTTAGCTAATACACGAAAATGTGGAGAATATGAATCCATTTCCGATATGACTGGCAAGTATTTTTGGTCCTTATAGGAAGAATGGAGCAGACGTTTTTTAATAAATTAGGATAATGTGCCCGTACATTAACGCTATGGAAACTGGATCAGTAATCTCTCATTACGTCTCTGCATTTGAGGTAATCACTTCAGTCCTGGTAGTGGACGTTGTGATATCTAGTGATTAATTCCAATTTTGAAATTAAATAGTCTAGTATGAAATGGCTTCAAAATTAATTTGTTGAAAAACAAGTCATTATTTGGCATGATTAGCACAGAGAGCTTTGTTTTATCTTTCAAGCTTAAAAAGTGCACTTCATTTCTTCAAATTAATTTGGAAAAAATAGGCATTGTAAAACCTTTACATGAGTGTATTGCCCAAATTTATTAATGGAAGAAAATCGGAACTTAACAATTATTTCAAGAAATGAAAATAAGAAAAGTTGATTGCCCATTTCAGCCACAGGATTACTTAATTTGTTACATAAGCTGATTATTTTGGAGAAATATATCAAAAAACTGATAGGAACATAATTTATTTTCAAATTTTACCTCAAATCACATGCATTTACAGAATACATTCATTTTATAGTAATATATGTAAGATAATAATGGTATGAAAAAATGGCTTACTTAAAAAGGGAACAAAAAAGTCTGAACAAGCACTAACTGTTTGTTTAGAAACTTTACATAATAATACAGAAGTGTACTCCATTTATCATACTGCAATGTTTCACTCATTAAATTCAAGCATCTAACTTCTTATTTTTCAAACAAGTCCAGTTATTATGGTTACACAATTCATTATCCAAAGCGTGATAAAAAAATTATCAAAAATAAGATGAGTCTTTTAAAATTTTATCTCATTTTTTTATTATTTTTCAGATTTAAAGAAATTTTTTATTTTATTTTGTTAATATTATGCTGATCAGTGATCGACATAAGGATGAAAAGCATGAATTCTTTTGGAATTATCCGCATACAATAAGAAATTTTCACCAATATATCATTTAACTGAATAAAAGCAAGACTGAAACAACTGATAAATTATAAGACTGAATACATAAATTTATATTATGAATTTTTAGTATCTGTTAGTAAATTTCGAAACATCTTAGAAGAATACATTCTCAGTATGGGAAATTTATTATTCTTCAGAGGATCAAAGAAAGCATCCCATATGCATTAATGAAATACAGCGTAAGAGAAAGTAATCTAAGTAAAAAGTAACTGACTGTTTTACGAATCATGATAATGGTAAAGTATGTCCAGTTATGCTTTTACTGATTGCCGATTGAAGAAAAGTTGTATAACGAATTGTTTGGAGTATGCATGATCAGCAAGGATATGAGAACATTCAAAAATCAACAACGAAAAATAGTTATGAGAGTTTTACTGCTTTCATAAAACGTAATATGAGGAAAAAGTGCAAACGAAGTCAATTTTAATTTGGGTGGTAAGCGATATTTTGCATGAGAAAGCATTTTTAGTCGAGGTTGCATATGATGAGTGGATTATTTGCTTAAGCAAATTGTAATTTATAGTTTATCTGTATTGCTTTTAAGTTTTAGAAAAATTATATGAATTTTAATTACTTATATGTACTGCTGAGTAGATCTTTTTTAATAATAGCAAACAAAAAGCGAGAAAAAAGAAAACTTTGCTTCAAAAAGTATACAGAATTTTGTAATATTTCACTTTCTGAATACATTTTTATCAAATTGAGTAAGCTATGATTAAAGTCAATTGCCATTATGTACTGCGTAATGCCTTTACTTTTCAGCATCAATTTGCAAAGTGAAAAGAAGCAAAAATGAAATAGAGATGAAGATTAAGCTAAAGAATGATGAATATATATTATATTGCCGTTTAAAAATGTTTGATCCTGAGGAAAACAGGAACTCGTATTTATACAACGCAATTCAGCGTTAAGAAGTAGCACTTCTTGCAAAAGTATTTGTTTTTCTTTCTACCAGTTGCTTGTTTGCTGCCTCATCCTAAACTTTCTACTTGCAAAAAGTGAGGATGATCTCAAGCTCTTATATATCTCAGGTCTTAAAGTTAAAAGAGCAGCAAAACAAGTGAAGCAAGCAATGCTCTTCACATCGTTATTTTCAGCACATCAATTTCTTCAATCCTTTTATTATACAACAATAATAAAAGAATAGTATCAGTGTGTTTCTAGATGCTAAATATCGAACTGCTTACTTTTATATCTTTCCAGTCATTTTATAGAAGTAATCTGTCTCTAAGACTATGACCAGCCCATTATCTCACGCACGACCTATTTAATCTAGTCATTTGATATTCAGTTTTAATATTTTAATAAATTACCGTCTTCGACAATTTAATATCAATAAATATCTGTTGGGAGCTTAGCCATAATTTGAAGCCCACGTACGTAGAGAATTATTCATACCGATTTGTAAACGTGTCTAAAGCTCATAGTTTTTTCTTCTTTTTTTCACTCAATGTATCCCTTTCTCTTTTCATTTTGAGCATTGTGTTCATGAAATTCGTTCTTTCATTATGAATATTTCTTATTTTCGATGTAAAAAGAAATTGAGAACACGAATGAGTGAAAGAAAAAAAAAAGAAAAACTAATTAGATAAATTTAAGGTATGAAAATGCTATTCGTAACTACAAGCTTGCTTCTGATATGGTCAATGAGGTCAGGCGAAACCGCCAATTCAAAAAAATTAGATATCAGTTGCATGTTTCTGGGATATCCTGAATTAGAATACGACGGGTTTGATCGGACAGAGGTTGGCATGATTCTTTTTTACATCTCTATGGTTACTTTAGTTGTTCTAAATGTCGTTTTGTCTATTCGTGCATTGTCATCCTGCTCACGTCTTGTTTTCAGATTTTGTCTTCAATGTTTTACTACCTCTACTCTATCTGACAAAACAAATTTCAACAAAGGTTGAGATTTTGTTTCATAAAATCAGTTATTTATTTGTGTCCTTCAATACTTACTCGAACCTCATAAATATTTAAATCACTAATATATTCTGAATTCAGCATACATTTATTGGAAATAGAGAAATGAGCTTACTCTCTTTTAGCTCAAACATTGTTCACTGCAAACCATTTGTTTTTCTGTTATTGTGTAGTGATATCGTCATTTTAATGCTTTGCTAATCAATAATATATATGTTATAGTGCTCTGTGATTGCAAATTTTATCTTTAGGTTTTAACCGAGAAAAACTTCAACAAAACAGTGCTAACAAACGATGCCAAAACAGTTGTTTTTTTCAACGATGTTGAAGATGATGATCCAGAACTGGATCAATATGAATGCTTTTTACAAGTTTGTTCACAATTTCAAATTAGCCAAATATATATATATATATATATATATATATATAT